ATATAGGTATTAGAACTCGGCGCCTTTCTGGTTATTAATACTAAGGAGTCCGATATAATAATTAAGGAGTCCGACGCGACGCTTAAGGAGTCCGACGCGATGTCTTTATATAGATATCTTCTTCGAGACCTTTACGCTTTCCGTCTAGGTTAATTAGGCTACCGACGATACCTTTGTTCGCGAAGTAGTACTCGTTAATATTAAGGAGTCTAACGCGATTTGCGCTTTCTATCTAGGTTAATCGGGCTGCCGACGATGCCTTTATTCGCGAAGTAGTAGGAGGTAGTCGAAGATAATAGTACGAGACTGTTATATAGTTGTTCGGGACTATTATATAGTTATATACGAGGAAGTACTTAAAGATAATAGTACGAGGCTGTTTTAGCAGGCCGAGAAGATTAAGCTAGACAGATATAATTGTTCTAAGACGTTTGCTATCTACGTCTTAAAACAATCCCGACGACGGTAATTAGGGTTAAAGATTACCTAAAGATATAATTGTTTTAAGACGTAGATAGCAAACGTCTTAGAACAATCTGAACAACGACAATTCTAACAACAATTCTAACGACAATTCTAACGACAATTCCGACGACAATTCCGACAACAATCTAGATAAAGAAAACGCAATTGTTCTAAGATATATACTACCTTAGGCGGCCGACGAGCCGTTGTTTATATAGTAGTACTTAAATATAAGAATATAGTATTGTTTTAGTAGGCCGAGATAATAATAGCGTAGTACTATATTAGCAGGCCGAGAAGATAAGAGTATAGGGTACGCAATTTGCGTTTTCTGTCTAGGTTAATTACGCTGCCGACTACGCCTTTGTTAGCGAAGTAGTAGTCGAAGATAAGAGTATAGTACTGTTTTAGCAGGTTAAGATATTAATATAGGGCTGTTTTAGTAGGCCGAGATAGGAGTATAGTACTGTTTTAGCAGGCCGAGATAATAATAGTATAGTACTCTATTAGCAGGCTAAGAAGATAAGAGTATAGGGGAGGGAGGGTACGCGATTTACGCTTTCCGTCTAGGCTAATAGGGCTGCCGACTACGCCTTTGTTAGCAAAGTAGTAGTCGAAGATAAGAGTTCGGGGCTATTTGGCAGGCTAAGAAGATAGTAATATAGTCCTGTTTTAGTAGGCCGAGAAGATAAGAGTATAGTACTGTTTTAGCAGGTTGATATAATAATAGTATAGTACTATATTAGTAAGCCGAGAAAATAAGGCAGGCCGAGAGAATCGAATAGTTTTAAGACGTATACTGTCTACGTCTTAAAACAATAGCTAATTGTTTTAAGACGTATACTGTCTACATCTTAAAACAATAGCTAATTGTTTTAAGACGTATTCTGTCTACGTCTTAAAACAACGCCGACAACTATACCTACGCTAACTACTTACTACGACAACGATACTTACGACAACGATACCTACGACGATAACTATACTTACGATAGCCAAATTCGAGACAACTATACATATAGCGATAACGACGATACCCCTAATATATAGAAGAACTACGGAAACGTAATTGTTTTAAGAGGTATACTATAACCTACGTCTTAGAACAATGCCGACGACGACCCTCGCGACGACGGCCCTCGGTATACGCGTCTTAAAACAATTACTAGTAAGCGTCGTAGTATCTAGATAGCGCTAACAATTGTTCTAAGACGTATACTATATATATCTTAGAACAATTCTACTCGTAGCGACTATACTCGCAACAACTATACTTAGCGTATACGTCTTAGAACAATTCTACTCGCGACGACTATACTCGCGATAACTATACTCGGCGTATATATCTTAGAACAATTCTACTCGTAACGACTATACTCGGCGTACGCGTCTTAAAACAATCGTATAAGGTATATGTATTAGAACAATTCGACGAGCCTTCTAACGATATTCGCGACGGCTATACTCGCAATAGCTATACTCGCGACGGCTATACTCGCGACGACTATACTCGGCGTACGCGTCTTAGAATAATTGCGCAAGGTATATATACTATTAATTGTTTTAAGACGTATACTATCTACGTCTTAGAACAATTCGACGAGCCTTCTAACGATATTCGCGACGACTATACTCGCGACGACTATACTCGCGACGACTATACTCGCGACGACTATACTTGCGACGACTATACTCGCGACGACTATACTTGCGACGACTATACTCGCGACGACTATACTTGCGACGACTATACTCGCGACGACTACGTACGGCGTATACGTCTTAAAACAATTCTACTCGCAACGACTATACTCGGCGTACGCATCCTAAAACAATTACGTAAGGCATACGTCTTAGAATAATTACGCGAGGCATACGTACTATTAATTGTTTTAAGACGTATACTGTCTATATCTTAGAACAACTACGCGAGGTATACGTACTATTAATTGTTTTAAGACGTATACTAGCTACGTCTTAGAACAATTCTTAGCGCTACCTAGTATATAAGGTAGATTTGGTCTACGTATCGATATAACGACAACGCAACGAGATATAACTATATACTTAGTAAGGACTAGGGATAGATTCCCCGTATTAAGCTTATCGAGCAGTCAAAATATACCGTTTCGAAATCGAGTAAGCCGTTGATCTTAGACTATAGTTCAAAATACTACTATTTTAAGAGGAAGACGTTAAGATATAGAAAGATTGTTTATACAAACTATACTTATTAGACCTCTACAAATTACCTCGTACCGATATATACGCTATCCGATATAGTTGTAGGTTTATGTACTATCGCCGTAATTCTCTTAGTATAGCTAGGTATTAGCGGTATACGACAACTTAATAACGCGACGTCGTATCGATATGATTTTTAGTTTACCGTACTTATAGAGGACTACGCTATTAGCTCCGGATATAATATTAGTATATCTTAGTATTGCTATTAAGTTAGTCCGATACGTAAGGGAGCTTCTAGTACGCGTACGTACCTTAGCTTTAGACCCTCTTAAGCGACGACCCTACGATACCCTGAAATTCAAGCCTAAGGCATTATCCGAGCTCCGAGGGTTAGAAAGGAGATAGGTTGCTTTGCTACTACGGCGATTAGGTATAACTAGCATGTCTGCGTTAGCCGTTCTACTACGGTCTAGAGTAGCCGATCTACTACTACTACGAGGATTCTTATTACGAGAACCTAGTAGTCTACTAGGCTTACGGCGAATAGGAGTACTGCCTTAGCTAGCTTCGGCTCGGTTAGCCTAGCTAGCCTAATATATACTCCTCCTAAGTAGAGATACGGTATTTACAGAACGATTAGCTATTGTCTGTATATAGATCCGGCGCTAAACATTACTTAAAGGTAGTATATTATCCGTTAACGTAGCTCTAGCCCTAGTATTATTATCTGTTAGCGGTAGATTCCTCTTAGCCTATAGTCTTATCCTTACGTCTACTCGGAAATCGGTATATTCCTTGTTTACTAGTAGTACTAGGGTGTTTAACTAGTCTCTTATTCTAAGTATTAGAATATTGACATTATGCTTAGGTACTAAAGTATACTATACGGCAAACCTAGGCGTATATTGCTAGATCTAGTCGATATCTAGAGCAGTTGCAAAGCCTAGAGCAGGCTCCTCGGTAGTATTTATATTAAATACAGTAGTGTCTTCTACTTAGTATAGTATAGTGTTAAACAGCCGGCAAAGCTCGTATACCTTCTCTAATAGAATAATAGCAGCGGACGGCACTATAAAGAGAAGGTTAACGTAGGTATCTTTAAATCTCCTACTAGTACGGTCCTTTAACTATACCTCTAGCCGACCTAATACGAAATAAGCCTTAGTACCGGCTCTTGGTTTAGCGACTAGCTTTAGTAGTTCGGGTATATCGACGTTCTATTTAGTAAGATCGAGAAGGGCTAGATTATAGTAGCTATAGCAGTCTGCTATACCGAGGACAGTTACGCTATCTCTTAGTAGATACTGCCGCTCGCTTTCGCTATAGTACTTATATAGTACCGTACGAAAGCAAAGTCTCTATACCGGTACTAGATAGTAGAAGGCGTTCTATATACGCCTTATAATAGGTACTAGGCTATCGCGCAAGTCTATCTAAGGATTAGTCTAGCTTCTACCCTTAGGATTTAAGTCTATATAGGTATTAGTACTAGCGCTAACGACGAACTTATTATCGTCGGTATAACTAGTAGACGAACGGCGATTTCTACTACTACTTTCGATATTAGCAACGGTATCTTCGATATCGGCTCCGAACTCTTCGTTATCTGCTCTATCTTCTATACTAGTATAGTTATCCGCTAGAGTCTCTATATAGCGTAGGCTACTTAGTCGGCGTAGTATATATACTACTACTGCTTTCGGCTGCCTATACTTAGCTAGTTTACGGATCTTTCTAGTCCTCTAGCCTAATGCCGTATCTAACTTAGCTAGTCGAGGAATAATAGACTAGTAGTTAGGATACTCTTTAGAGGCCCCGTACTTTAGTATATAACGCATACGGTTATTAATATACTATAGCAAGTACAATATAGCCTTAGCCCTAGAGATAGCCCTACCGGCGCGACCTAGTCGCTATATAATATTATCGAGATCCTTAGAAATAGTATTCTTCAATTAGATTACCTACTTTATATTAGGAAAGTTGGTACTAGTAGCTATAGCCGGCGTACCCTAAAGGATTCGTATAGTCGAAGGCATTGCCTTGAATATAGTATACCGCTTGTCTTAGTCTCCGGTAGCAACGTATACAGTATAGAAAGATACGATCTCGTTGATATTATAGCTACTATTAGCGCTAGCCGCAGTATACTTCTTCGTATTGTCCTATATATCCTTAGTTATCTAGATAAGCTACTAACGCATTCGTACTACTGCCTTATCGACGTAGCCGATACTATTAATAAAGTACAATACTTTCTCGATTTTGTTAGGAGTCGCCTCGCCTTGTTTATTTATAGTATTTTTAAGGAGCTAATATAGTAACGTCTATAAGGTACCGAGTTTAGACTATAGAATACGCTTAAGGATATACGTAGTATCCGGTCTGTCGATACTACTACAGATAATAGCAGTCTTGAATAGCGCGTCGCTAAACGGCCGAAAGCTACTATACTTACGGACGAACCGTAGCGTATCTATAGCGATAGTAGCAGATACCCCGAGCTATACTATATCCTTACGTAGCAATCCTCGTAGGGTTTTCAACTAGCTATATTCTTTGCAGAAGTTAATACCCTATTTCTAGACAAGATAACACTATATCGGTATATTAGTATATACTATAAAACTGTATTAGTATTACCTACCTCGTCGATAACTACTATACTAATACTATCGGCTATCTCTTTAAGAACCTCTCGTATTTCTAGGTTATTCGTAGGCCTTATTATAGGTACAACCTACCCTAGTAGGTATGTAGGGTAGGTTAGGTATTAGCAAAACCTAATAGGTATAGGTATTTAGCTAGGTATACCTAACCTATCGGGTTAGGTACAAACCTAGTAGGTATTACGATACCTAGTAGGTATTGCGTACCTATTAGGTATTGAATCTTCGTATATAGAAATAAAAAACCTAGAAACCGGATGCCCTAACGAGAGCGAAGAAGCGATTTATTTAGACTAGGTATAAGAAAAGAAACTGTATATAAACCTAATATAGATACGAAAGTAAAGATTATAGTTAAATTGAATAAAGAAACTCAGAATTATATATACGCTATACTATAAGTTGTAATATTTTGGATCTTAAGAAATATAGTCGGTAAATATAGTCGGTAGGTAAACTTTATATAAGCTTAAAGCAACCTCCCTATAATCGTCTCGTAGTATCCCGGAGGCACTCCTACGTAAGCTTGAAACTTAGGCGTACTAATCGCCTTAGCTCCTCTACTATATTACCCTCGTTATCGCTAATTGTATCTAAGTTACTAATCCGTTCTATAAGATCTTTCGTCTGCTCTCGGTCTTTACTAAGGATCTCCTATAAAGTTAGAGTACTAAGAAGCGCTTAGGAAACCTCTATAGCCTCTTAGGCGATAAGAACTCTAGTATCGTACTTATCGTCCCGATAGCGAAAACGAGATACTATTAATCTAGAGAATATTAATATAGTATATTGGCGATTAAAACGACTTTAGTGTTAAGCGATACTAAAATCGCGCTTATACTTAACTCCGGCGGTAGGAATACAGAGAATATCCCGCGCTATTAATACGAGAGTAGGGTACTTAGACTCTATTGAAGACTACGTCTTTAGTACCTCGAATAGATCCCCTTTATCTATATCAGCGTCTAAATAGTCGGCGAGCTCGTTATCCTCGTTAGTACTACGTCTTTGACTTTAAGAAGACTCTATACTCCTACTAAGAGTAAAGTCGATATAGCCTTTATACCGACTCCTTCTAAAATAGCCCTACTAGGTAGAGGTACTCGATAATAAACGATAGCTCTTCTCCTACTCTGCCCTTAGCTTACCCTCGTAATACGCGCGGTAACTTTTATCCCTAAAGTTATCGCGTACCTAGAACTTCCGCTTAAGGCAGGGGATAAGGAGAACGCTAATACTATAGTAATCGCTAAATCGATCCTAGGTATCTCGATAATATTTCTCTAGCTTAGCCTAAGCAGCCTCGTATACCTAAAAGATATCCTTCTTCTAGAGTATCCTCTTATTCTTAAGTCGCTTTATCGCCTCCTCTAGAATATCGAAAAGCTTATTATAGTATACAAGGACAAGGTAAATCGTCGGACCTTTCGTAGTTTTAATTACCGCTGTCGCCGCTATAAATAGTTTCGTAAGGTCGATAAGGTACTCTACCCTTTGCTATTCTTCGGAATCGATGCCTATATCTTTACTTAGGTCAAGTCGCTCGATATAAGATTTAATAACTACTTAGAGTCTACTAAAGCGATCGAGTATTAACGTTATTAAGGACTACCTTGTCTTTACGTCTTGAACGACCCTTAGGATACGATCTTAAACGCCTTTCTACCGACGGTGCTTTACAAATAGCTGCTTCTTTTAAAGTATCTCTTTCTAGAGGTCGATAAACTGTTCGAACCTTTAGGAGCTCGAGTTAATAAAGACGCAAAGCTTCCGGATCTAGAGATTAAGATTAGCTAGAGTAACGAACTACCGACTATAATTGCCGACTACGCGAGTCGACTATACTTTCGAGGTCGAAGGGTTTATAGTTTATTAGGTATAGACACTAATCTTACCTTTAAAAGAAGATAGGGCATACTATTAGCTTAAGGACGGCTGATTTGCTTACTCTAGACTCTTCTTCTCTATAATATCTTTCTATCCTTGTCGTAATCCTAGAATTCGGAAAGGTCGTTCGTAGGACAAAGCCCTAGGCGGTCGAAAAAGGCCTTTAGAGGAAGTTAAGTAGTATAGGCAAAGTAGGGAAATCGCTCCGGACGGCTACCTCGATTATACTCCGTAATTGCCTCCTCCTCTTCCTCTCCTATCTCTAATTCGGGACTAGTTTCCGTACCTAGATAGAGAGGTAGCTGCTCTAAGCTCGTTAGTAGCTTAGTAACCGTTATACCGTACCTCTCTTAACAAGTATTAATCGCTAAAACACTATAGAATATTAGAGGAGAGTAATAACAGTAGAGCAAGTGTCCTTATATCGTATTATATAGCGTCTTATTGTTAGAGGCGTTGTCGTACGTAATAGCAGTTAATCGGCGCTTAATCTCGAACTCTTATAAGATCTCGAATAGTATCTCCGTAAGATAATTACTAGTATAACGGCTAGTAATATAAGGGAAACTAAGCATCCCTTTATACTAAGTCTATTAGTCGTCAATCTAGTAGACCCGTATAGTTAGGAATAAGGTTTTTATAGTCCTAGATTACTAACTATTATACGCGATAGCTATCTTGAATCTTCTAGCGAGACGGGCTTTAAGGGAGTCGGCGGAGTCTATAACCTTAGTATCGAGTATCCTTCGGTATATCGACGTATATTTGAACGGAATTGTCTCGACCTGTCCCGGGAGAAGTACTATATAAGTCTGTTTTACCGAGGGTCGTTTAAAGAACTAGAATAGTAGACCGTTGTCGACAATTATCTTAAAGTATAGGCGCGGGAAATCGTCTAGTATATAGCCTAGGTCCCTTATCTACTATAGATTGCTAATAGTCTAGAAATATCGTCTTAGTAAAAGTAGCTAAGCGTAGTCGGCAGACGTAGTCGGCAGGTATAGTCGGCGTTAGTTAGTACTTACTTATCGATACTTCGCGGCCGTAAACATCTCCTTTATAAACCCTCGCTTATCTTATTTCTCCTAGTAGTTCGAGGAGTCGAGATGCTTCTCGATAGATATTGTACTAGTATTTAGTACTAGATGTTTTAGTATAGCGTTATAGCATCTGTATACGACTTTAGGCGTCGCATCTTCTTAAAGCATTCCCTCCTCTAGGAAATCCTATACCTAAGATATCCGAGACTTACTCCTCTAGGTAATTAGGGACCGATCGAATATAGTACGACCGTTCCGCTTTTTAAGGCGCTTTCCGGTATAATTCTACTACCGTACCTCGTACTAACGCTTAAAGTTGTCCTTATACCTAAGCCTCTATAGCTAGTAATTTGACTTGATATCCTACTCTTCTATATAATTAGGCTCGATAGGGAGAATAAGGGAACTATCTAGTTCCTCTTCTACTAGACTCGGCCGTCTCGTTCTACGCCGCCTAACGTTAGGTTATCGTCGGCGTCGACCTAGTATTAGACTCGATAGCGCGTTGAGTATCGTCCTATAGCGCTAGCGTAGCCGTACGCTCGATCGCGTAGGGGTCCCGGAAGAGGTATCGGGCTAGGAGGAGGATTCGAGCCGGGAGCTTCCTACTCCTAGGGAGGACGAGAAGGAGGACGAAAACATAGTAGATAGACGACAATAGTATAAAAGTCTAGAGGTATCTTAAAGAAGTAGAAGTAGAAAGAGGAAAAAGAAAGAGAATTTCCTATACTCAATTATAGTATTACGCTATAACAAGGGTATAGCTAATAGGATATACCAAAATACTACTGTATCCGAGCTAACCTATCGAAACCCTAGTTTAGGCGTCGCTTACTATTTACCTATCGCTTCCGCTTCTTAGTCTTAAACTTTAACAAGGGTAGCTAGTCTCTTATTCTTCTTAACTAGTTCCTTAAGACTAGAAATCGAGAGATAGAGTTCGTCTTCTTAGAGGAGGAGGAGGAGGATAGCTTCGAGAGTAATTCTAGTATACTCTTTTATACTACAATAGATAAGACTATATATTACTACTAGCTATATTATCTGTTCCTTTATAAGAGAGTTCTCTTTCTTATATATCTTATACGCTATCTTCGCGAGATGCTTATTCTCCTTTATTGTCTTTAAAGGCAAAAAGCCGTTAGCTATATAGTCGTAGGTAGGAGGAATAAGCTAAGAAGGGCCTAGTAATCGCCCTCTATAGTAGGCTTGAGCTTTAGTATCCTACGATAGGACATTCCGGCAAACGGCTCGCTTAATAGGCGAGAAGATCTTATATAGTAATAGCATTCGGACTTCTTCGATATAAATCTAGAATTATAATTAGTTTCTATAGTCGGTAAATATAGTCGGTAGATATTTACCTTTATTATCTCGCTGCTAACGATTTTTAAGACCTCTTTTATACCTTTCTTATTTAGTATATCTAGGTTCTTAAGGATAATAATCTTGTTCTAGAAGTAGTAGATAGAAGAGTACTATTAATTATAGGCCGTCGAAAAAGTAGAAGAGGATGCCTAGATAGCAAAGGTACTAATAGACTTAGCCCTCGCTTCCTCTATCTGTAGAGTCGATAATAGATTAAGAACTAATTCCGAGAGAAGGCAATAATTACTAAGGCCGCTAACCCCTTTGTCGCACTCCTCGCTAATAGATAGATACTCCTATTCCTACTTAATCTAGTCTTCTTTCTAGAATATTAATCGTTCCTTAGAGTCGATATCGCCGAGTTCGAGAAACTAGTCGGCTTTATTAATCTTTGCCTACTCGTTAGGCCTCATTATGGGTACAACCTACCCTGGTGGGTATGTGGGGTGGGTTGGGTATTGGCAATACCCAATGGGTATGGGTATTTAGCTGGGTAAACCCAACCCATCGGGTTGGGTACAAACCCAGTGGGTATTACGA